TTTATAGATTAGCACACAAAATGCCGTATAATAAAAGTCTAATCAGAGTAAGGTGGTAACATAATATTAAAGACAATTTACTGATAGTTACTCGATTTTTGGTAGTAAAATTAACAATTGCCTTTTTTGGAATACAAATAGTTTTAAGCAAGAGGGGAAGCCATACATTGATTTGGTAGATGGATTTAAGACGATAAATAAACCCTTCTAACGATAAAAGTAGAACGATATATATTCCAATGATAAAAGCGTGACGACGGACCACCGGTGAACTCGAGGAAGCTGTAAGAGGCTCATAAGGAGCCGAAGACGTTCCATCCAATCACCTTTCGGAAGAATGTTCTAGAATTCCAACGTGTAGCTTCCCCATTGGATAATGCTAATAACCCCCTGTACGCGGATTGGAAGACTGTAATGATGATTTTGTTCTCACTAAAAACTATAAATACCTGACAATTTTGTACTATGTTTGACATTGTTTGGAATAATATTCCTTCGTTAGTCTTCTGTCTTCTTATTGCGACTTGGAAGGGTTTGGAGTTCTAGTGCTCAGTTATACGCGGTTGTATCAAGAGAAATCAGCTTTTTCAAGTTATAACAAAAAGAAATTCTGTATAAACTTGATTCATCTACTTCATCCAGACGTGAAATTCACTCCTCATCATTTGCATGTATACAAAGTTATTATATTTCAATTCATCAATCTTAATCTGATGTTCTACCGAAGCTGTATGAAGAGAAAATGTGATTTTCGGAAACGTAACTGAGCTCTAAAATACCTATGTGCATTAAATAACTGTTCACATGTGTAGATAGTTTATTATACACATGAATCTAGTGTAAAGGACAGACACACATGCAAAAAAATTGTCATCCGTTTTCAACATAAATGAACCTCTATCTAATCGATGGTTTTTTACTATATTTATTAATCAAACGTCCCAGCAACAATACTCTATCTACACTCGTAACAGAAATTATGAAAATCTCCTAGTAGTTGTAGGAGTTTTGTATCAGAGAGAATTTATTTGATAAACATTATTGAGACGAAATTATTTTAATGTTTAAACGTAGGCTGATTACAAATATACAACAACTGTAGATAATCTGATAGACAGGTAAGAAACAGAACGAATTCAATTTACAGTTAATAAAATATTAAGGTTAACGTATAAACACAACTGAAAACACCGGGATCTTAAGTTAACCCACTATTCAGCTAGTCTCTATTCTAATTAACCCTGATAACATTTATATTATTACACTAATTACGTTTGCTTAATTATGTGGAAGTATTGTCTAATCTCTGTACTAATAAGTTCAGGTTAATGAATTCATGCTGACCTGCTCAAATCTTTGTTATTGTTCTCTTCAGAATGATAAAGGGAACTATGTGTGTGAAGTTTCAGGTTAATAATTGTTATTACTTTTTGTGTTGAAAAGTGTTATATTCTGGACGATGAAAGAATACTTATATATTACATTTAAGTGTTTTCATTCAATATAAACAACTGAATATATAACATAATGATAAATCAACCTTCAGAAAAGAGTAACTGATAAAATTAACAAAGTTTTAAATAACATAACAGTAGTAAATTTATAAGTAAATCGCCTTTACTGAAATTGTTTAGTATAAAATATATTGACAGCTACTTGGAAAAGCATTGTTTAACATTACTGTCAATCATAAATCTAAGCATGCCAATACCACTATTTGTAATGAACAGATGGCGAATTAGAAATTTTAATTCACTGTACTCAGTTAAGTCACAAGTCAGTCATACCAGTGATAAACCTTAAAGACTGGATACACACATAAGAACAGACTGATATAGCTAAATCAGTTTATTGCTTAAGTGATGATGACCTTTAGAACCGTAAATAAAGAATAATGAAAATCACATGGTCAATAAAACAATATCGATCATTGCATTGTATAAGTAGTTAAATAGGGATGAAAAACTTAGAAATGCAAAAGGGTTGCTAATCGTTGTCCCTCTCCAGTAACTAGACGTAATTGTCATTTTCATACATACTGATTATCTCCTGTCAGACGTTATTTTATAAATGGTCATCAGAAATTATAAGTCACTCAGATTATGATGATAAAAAACATTAACTGAATATACTTGGTTTTAAAATAACGTAGAAATCATTTCAATATCTAACTGGTGGTAAATAATACTGAGGACGGTTTCAGCCCTGATCAGTGAACTATCATCCAAGTCTTAGCACTTAAATGAGTTCTAATTGGAAACGAATTCAATAACTCGCAACACTGGCTATCTTAATTTCCATTTAGCTGACGTTTTTGTCAGGATTTGACATTCAAGGATCTGTCAAATAAATATATTACTCAGTATGAGAAACATCGACTGGACCTGAATGGTAAAAATTATTCAGAAAATGTAATTTTTTTAGCAGTTCCATTCAACGATCCTTGTCAATCTGTTTTCATCTGAAAGATTCGTGAATTGGCAAAATCTGAAGTAGATCAAGTTAAGCATGACTGGCATATTTTATTATTGTTCATTATGGATACAGTTAAGTTTTCTAAAAGAAAACTTGAAAGAAAGCCGATAAAGCGCTATCATTCAATAGATTTTGTTTATCTTCTATTGAATACTGCTACATAAGAGAAGTGAGGATGTGAGTTTTAAAAGGTGTAAAAATGTGTACTATGGTCAGCAATATTTATTACTTATCTGTAATTCGTTAACTCAATATGAGTTAACTAAAAGCGTAACGTTTAATTTGAAATATTCTTCGTCACTTAATAGAAATACCACAGTATATGATATTATAAATGAAATCAAGAGCTATTAAGAAAACGTTTGGATTCTTGTCCCAAAGATAAGAACTATTATAACATTTACAACAAGAATAAGAGCATCCTAATTCAGCAACTCCATTTGGCCGTCCACTTACCAAGACACAATTTATAGAGAATACGGTTATTTATTACCCAATTTTTTAATATCGCACTTATTTCAGACTTTACATTTGAACTGTAGATTGTCATCATTTTCTATGTTACTTCAATGTTCTCAATCTACTTCATTTATATAAATTTTACTATCATTCGTTTGTATTGGTTGTTCGAATCTTTCCATTGACATTGACAATATGTACATCCTGTGAACATTGCCTCGATATTGCCTTAAGTTAGGGGCATTATAAGTAGAAGTGGATGTTTGCTGGCAGTGGAATCCAGGATGAGTGTTTCGACCTATTCGAGACTCGTTGGCTAGATATATCTACATCCTAGAATTGACTTTCACTCCATGACACGAACTCATTACTATATGCACTAAACACCATGGAGTTACAATTGATTGATCACTGGGTGGGGATCAATGTCATGCGTGTCTAGTCCTTATTAGTGCAGATCGAATGCTATCGACCATGTTGCAATGTGGCCACCAGTCTAGGTGACTCGACACTGTGTGCACTATTGTGAGATTAGATGGTGGTTGGAGGTAGTCGACAGGAAACCCTGGACCCGGGTTTCGTGCTACTTGGCACTCGTCAGCAAGGTGGACCTGTAATCTTGGCTGGTGGCCACATTGCAACATGGTCGATAGCATTCGATCTGCACTAATAAGGACTAGACAAGCATGACATTGATCACCACCCAGTGATCAATCAATTGTGATTCCATCTCAGTCCTACAGGAGGTTAGTCACGACTCGGATAGCTCAGTGGTAACGTCTCTGACTGTGAAGCTGGGTGACACGAGATCGAATCCGCCAGGGAGCATCAGTTCCCTCAAGATTACAGGTACACCTTGCTGACGAGTGCCAAGTAGCACGAAACCCGGGTCCAGGCTTTCCTGTTGACTACCTCCAACCACCATCTAAATCTCAATACATAGTGCCCGCAGTGTCGAGTCACCTAGACTGTTGGCCACACTGCAACATGATCGATAGCATTCGATCTGCACTAATAAGGACTAGACAAGCATGACATTGATCACCACTCAGTGATCGATCAATTGTGATTACACCTCAGTCCTACAGGAGGTCGGTCGCGGCTCGGATAGCTCAGTGATAAAGTCTCTGACTGTGAAACTGGGTGACACGAGATCGAATCCGCCAGGAAGCACCAGTTCTCAAGATTACAGGTAAACCCGGGTCCAGGGTTTCCTGTCGACTACCTCTAACCACCATTTAACGCCACGGAGTTATCCACTTAGCTACGAAATTCAGATAACTTCATATAATCGCATATAGTACACCAGTGATACTGACTAAAGTTTATATTTCCTAATTAGACTCGAGGAATACTATAACAAAGTAGATGTTTCGTATACTTAGCAAATAACGGTATTGAAATATCATCCCACACTCCTACATTATTAGCTGTTTCTATTAGAACACTCAAAAGGCTATTTACAACAACTCTAAATGTAAACTAACAAATTAGAAGAAATACAGCAATTATTTTCCGTCTACTAATTATTTTGATTTTATTGCACTGTTATGTAAAAGAAAACCTAATTTGTAGTCAACTTTCAACAACAAGAATTAGATATTTAGCATGACAGTGACTATATCTCAACTTCACCATAAAGTCAGCAAGATTAGGTCTTTCCGATTATCTCAATTTGATAGTCATCATTTATCGCTAATTTCCATATATTATTTTTTGTACCCAATGAATGACCTGGTCATTAAATTAATTAATTTAATGCCCAACTCATCTTGAGTTACCTGGGATTGGTTAGGACATTAATTTAGGTCATATAACATGCCTGTGACAAGGCTTAGTGATGAAAACAGGCCAGAATTAAATGAACCAATAAAACGTTTAGGCAGAATTTCTTTGAATTTAAAATACAGAGAAACATCAATCCAATAGGCGAATAAAACGTAACATCTATATTACAGACAAGTCTACCCAATACTCTTATGTAGTTGTGCGTTACGTATGCTTGAGCGTTTATGTATGTATATGCGCTGACATTATTATATAAATCTGTATATACCTGTGCAAACAAATGTCTTTACTTGTCCACTACAATCAAATACAAACAATAAAACTTCGATACTTCAAATAAATGCTAAATTAACTAATTTGATAACATTTAACAATTTCTCACTAACTATTAGGATGTTTAGCATAAATCACTGAATATTACGTGATGAAGGACTACAATTCTCATTTGCTTAACTGACTTATAAGAGTTCGTTTACTTACCAAAGTGCACAGTGATAAAACTCAAAAAACACTTTGTCATTTCCTCGTACACAATTTTAAAATTATCTTCTTTCGACATTTCATATATTTAATACATTCATAATTATCAGAATCAGCGGTAAGTGCAGTTTACTTATCAACTTATTATTTACATTTTAACAAATTTATTTTAACAACCTTTTGTCGGGTTATGTAAATAACTATTCCATTTCTCATGTATTTGGAAATGAGATATACTGTTGAAGTGAAGCTTCCCTTACTATCTACGCGCAAGCAAAACAATTAAACATAGTTCCTTTTATCATTTTGAAAAGAGCAAAAACAAAGATTCTAACAGAATAGTATAGATTCATTCTATTTCGTTGGTTCTAATCGGTTGCTTACAACCTGTGATATTTAAAAATCATGATTACATAATGGGTTTAAATTACTTATATGAAACGGTTGAATCGGAAGTTATGTTGAAGACACATTAGTGTAGTATAGCAAGGGTGTAAATAAATTCAATAGACCGAATATTGTAAACATATACCCTATATAAAAGAACATTCTACAACATACATTGTGACAACAGTTCAAACAGCTAGAAACAACTGATTATATAATGAGTAAACATTGATAGGAATAAAACGAGTAGAGTTCAGTTGATGAAATAAGATTAATTTGGAAGATAATTAAAATAATACTCAATGATGTAATAAATGCAAGAAAGAGTTTAAAGAAAAAAACATTAAGACACAGCAGAGGAATATTAGTCACCAAGGCAAGGAAAGATTAATAACCACCTCTTTTTGAACACAAATCAGGTAAGGTAAATCATGTAAGTGATTTAAACCCATTATGTAATTATGATTTTTAAATATCACAGGTTGTAAGCGGCTGACGAGAACCAACGAAATAAAGTGAATTCATGCTATTCTGCTTGAATGTTTGTTCTTGCTCTTTTCAAAGTTGACCATCACTTCGAAATGGCTAAACCTGACTGCAAGAAAATCTGATATCAAAAACAAACTCTGAATATTCTAGTCACCATTAGATTTAGTGTGGAAATAATGTATTATTGTATTTTATGTTATAACACTGATTTTATTTTAAACTTAAGTGAAGGTTTACCATTTGTGCATATTACTTTCTTAAGAAGTAATACGTCACTCGTTACAGTCAGCTACTAATGAGAATAGTTTAAGTTATGAAAATCACTTATTATCTATAGCAATTTTTATTATACACTTCATGTCAAAGTAAGAACTTATCAGCATATGATATAGAAATTAAAAAAAGGCACTTATAATAAACCGCCAACGAGTGTCTATCTACTGATTTGCTTTAAAATGTCACCATTTCATGTCATTCAGTTCATACTACCAACGTTCTCTTCGTTAACTAAACCATACGAGATGATAGATATCCATACCATATCATTTTAATAACTAATCCACAACCAGTTGATATACAAGGCGAACTGGACACTTTATCATTTAATAAGTTTTAGAGTGGTAGCTATTTGAAATAATGTATGAATATAGTGTACGCAGATATTTTTGGAAATAAAAGATTACTATGAGGGTTTATGCGGATTTTATAAATTCACTAGTCAACATCATAGAATAACCTTAGTTAAAGAACCATCGAAAACCAGGAAGCACTGAACAGCTTCTTCCTCTTCGTATGCGACTCAGTGATGCGTGCCGACGACCCTGGTACCAAGGGTCGAACCCAAGACATCTAGTCTCATGCACATCCACTTAACCTCTAGACTACTGGGTTGGCATCCAACGGTCTACATGTTTAACTACGGTCATTTTGCAATATTCCTGACTATCTTCCAATGTACCTTGTGGGCAACTACTTCATTTAGCATTGTTGAACTTGATTGGTCACGGAGTTTAGCCATGATTAATTACTATAATGAATTTTTGGAGAGACTAGGTACATTTGAAGATATCCGCTGATATTAGAAATTGTTTAGAGTTAACCATGTAAGATCATTTGGGCGCCGGCTCGGTGTTAAGATGGTTAAGTGATCACGGGCAAGACTGAAGGGTCGTTTATGCGCACCGCTTAGCAATTTATTAGATTTCGATTCAATGATTGAAAGTTATTTTAGGCACATAAACATCTGAACGCCTTGAATTTGACCTCGTAATGATTTTTTAGATTTTTTTAAAATTCCTAAATGTTCTGAGAGAACAAGCAAACGAGAAACTCATCTTCACTTTTACCCTTTGAAATATATGCAAATTTTTTAAATTATGATCATCTTATCGTAACAGATGTTACTATAGATAGTAAGAGTTTGCAAATGCATTTTAGGTCTTCTACTGATAGGTCACATGACAGACTGACTTCAGCCAGGAAAACTACTGAAAAACAAGAAGTTTCGGACAATTAGTTTGTCCAATTTTCGAACTTACAACCAGCCCGTATTCAACACTCCAAAAGGCAACCAAATTCTAAATTACAGTATCACATTTGATTGGATATGGAAATCTAAACACCTGGAATCATTTTGACCGGCCAAATGGTGACGCTGACACCGTCGAACCTGTAGATCCTTAACTGAATATTTGGTCAGGGTGTGGATATAAATTGTCAAGAAGTCCCAGCATACGACAAAACGTCTACCCAGTGTTATCCAGTTTTCAGTAGTTTTTCAGTTGATGTCAATTTATTACTCTTTACTTAGGAAAAGTGTATTGATTTATACTTTATCAAGCATCCATTTTTAGATAAAACTTTGCATTATGTACTTTAAAAGAACTCGTGAGAAATGAAAGGAAAGGGTGTATATTAAAATTACATAAAAACTTTCAGTGTGTGAATTTCATTAATAAACAAAGTTAAGTTTCGTTAGCCATTAAATCAATTATGATTTGTCCCAGTAAAACAGTAATTAAAACGCAATGTTTATTATTTGTTATCATAGATGTTCTAAGTCATGTGACGTTCCCATTATCATACTTGTCGATTGTAACACAATCAAAAAGGTGCTACATAATGATAGAACAAATAAATAATGCAATCAATTTACATGTACCCCATATTCATGCACTTAACGCTGGGTTAAATCACGTGATAATAAATAGTAAACATGGTCTTGAATATCAACGGTTCAGTGACATAAATGAATTATGTCATTGATTAGGGTAGGAAACATTCTGATTTGGTTGAAAAAGAAGTTTATGCATATATATCTTTTAAATAGGGACAGGTTTGGCCTGATTCCTGATATATGAATTAGTTTCTCTTTCCACAGTAAAGGGAATAAATAAGAATCAATATAAAATTTTGTAAATTTTTGAAAAAAAAAATATGTATACTTTTATTCACTATTAACGAAAATCTCCTGCTGTTAGGAAACTTTTATAGGTCAGTTTCTCAATATTGCTGCCGGTTGATGAATGACTATTAGAATTTTGTAAAAGTCTAATAATATGAACTTGATTTGAGTGTTTCGGAAATAAAATTGTTCAGGATTTAACTTTTTACAGTTGTGACATAGTAGAAAGCATTATCTAAAAATTCAAAATACCAAAAGAGAGAATGTTCGAGTGGAAATTAGATTGTGCTAAAATTGTATAACACTTTCAGTAATCAGTTACAATATTATCTTCAACCCAAGCTTACAAAATTATATGTTTAAACTGTAAGTATTTATTTTAATTCAAAGAACGATTTGAGGACTTTATGACTGCTTCGTCTAATTTTATTTATATTCATTCATCTTTGTTGCAGTCACCATAATTAAGAGGTTATCGATGCTATACAAGACCAATACTATCCCCTCACCTTTTTTCATACTAGTCATTTGAGTATTTTAATACAATCCACTGAGTAATGACAGTTCAAACAATATTCAAACTTCACTGAATTTACATTGAATATCCATCGTTCGACACTGAAGAAAGGAAGTAAAATGAAGAAGGAAATTGAAAAATAGGCGTACAAAAAATTTCTTTTCGATCATCCTGTTTTCTACATGAATGATCATTTAATATAAGAAACCTTAATATCATTTTTGCTCATCAATGTAAAATGATAAATGATTCATTAACTGATGAATGCTCGCAGTCTTAAACTATGTCATAACGAAGAACCTATTAAAATTTACGTCATCATGTCTCAATGAAAAAACATAGATATGATATAAATCCGGTAAGTGATAATTACACTTCTATTATTTACGCATGATAGTATAAACTAATACTGAAAAGTATTTTATAATGGAAAAAAAAACGATCTTCTCCATAATAAATCCATAGATCTGTATTAAAAACTATTATCATCATGTCCACATTGGATAAATATCAGAAAAAAAAGAATAATGGAACACTTAATAAGAATTTCAAGTACTTATATTTAAAGATGTATTTCATTGTGGAATGACATCATGTGGAAAACCAACACTATTCAAAGAGAATCAAAAAGTCATTTAGATTGAATTCAAGTTTCCTTAACAATATTTCTTCACATTATCTTATGTGATTTCTAATCAAAGACGTATAGAATTCTCTTTGACGATTATACATAAATTAACAACTTTGTTGTTGGCCTAGATTTTGAAAATTTTTACTCTTATAAATTCATGAAATTCTGTAACTATAATCCAGCAATATCATTTCATAATTGTCTCATTTCTTACTTGCTTATCAATGTGAAAGTAGTAACTTAAAGAATACTAACAAAAAATCAATCTTTACATTGATCACAATATCATGACAACATTACTTACTTACTCACATACACCTGTTACCGCTCGTGGAGGAGCATAGATCACCCACAAATATTCTCAATCTAACTCTGTCCTAGGCAATACTTTGCAGTTTTTCCCAGTTATTATTCATCCTTTTGAGTCGTGACAACATTTCATTTAGAAATTCTGGGTAACTTTACTCATATTTTCTTTTAACTAAATAAAAAGAACAAGTGAAAAATAGCCTTACAATAAATAAGTATTTTAAACACTTAGTTACGATGAGTTAGTAGATAAGTATAATTCGAAAAAATATTTATTACAGCCTTTGTTTGACACTTTTTTTCAGCCGTTTATACTCACACACACACACATGTATCTCATGTTTTTGTGGATAAATCATAAAAGAAACATTGAAGAATAGC